CTGGAGCAATTTGGGGTTCAGTATCTTGCTCAAAGATACTTCGACAGGGATCGAACCAACCACCTTCAGCTGGCCCAATCTGTGTGATGTGAAAACTTATAAAGTAAAAGATCCAGCACATATACTCAGTTTATTACGTAATATTCCAGCTGAATCTTTATTTCTCTGTTGTGTCATCACTGCGTTCAGTATTGTTTACTGAACCACACACTCTCACCTCTTTTCTGCCAGACCCTGCCTCCAAGGAAATAAAAGAGTCTCCAAACAACCAGGTCTGGTGGTTATGGAGAATTATGGACAACCTGGCAGCAAATAAGAGCCACATACCCTGTCAGTCGTGGGCGGGCCAGAATGGCTGGTCCACAACTTCAACGCAAGGATCCCTCTTCAACCCGCTGGCCAGCTCTCAGCATCTCAGCCTGGGCTCGTCTTCTGACCAAAGACCCTCCTACAACCACCTGCAGGCGCCCAATCTGAGCTGTATGAACGACATGAGCACCTTATCATCCCCTCATCACTCTGCCCTGTACAAAGCCTCTCACATTAACAACAATTCGTCATCCACTACGCTGTTTGCAAACACTGCTATCCCGAGTTCTTCTCACAGTATTTCCTTCGCTCAGCAAAGCCCTCACACTTCATCAATGCTGTTAAATGCAAACCAAGGCATAAACATTCCCCAAACAAACCAAGTTCCACAGCCTTGTAGGCCCCAACATCTGCCACTCCTGCCACCCCATGACCATTACAAAGCATCAGTTCAACCTCCATTAACCAATCAGGGTTTACCAAACGGACTGCAGGATCTTCCCATTAGCCTGTCATCATGTGGACAACGTGTAAGTACATCTCAAGCTACTTTTGAAGGAGCGAATGTGGAGTTTATTGGTGTTTGTGGATACACTCACAGCCATGCTTCATCCACTTCTCAGGAGCAGCATCAGTGGATACCTTCCTCACACTGCAGGGGTAAGCTGCTCTTTGTTCCTTTGTGGTAATTTATGTAAACAACAGTGTGTTTAGTACATAAGCTGGTTGGTTCCTTATCCTGGATGTCCAAATCTTATTTATATCAATAGAAGCACCGTACAGGACAGTGCAATACATTTAAACTCTTCATCGTTAAAAAAATAACACCACAGATTACTCTCTTGTCCAAACAAGTGGTGAAGTTCAGATTCTAGTACTGTTGTATTTTGTCTCCAGTTTCCTTCTACATTGTCTAACTTACTTGTCTTTTCTTCAGGAGCCGTAAACGACTCTGATGCAACTGCTCATCCTAACAAAGAGTCATCGCAAGAGGGAAACATTAATCCACTGGTGAGGAAATTAACAGCAACAAAATGTATTACAGCAGAAAGGTTTGTTATTAGGTGGTAATTTTTAAACATTATGTTCACAAATAAAACAAAAGTGTTTGTCTACATCTATTTGTGCTTACAGAGGTTGTGCACATTTTAAGTCACTTTGAAAAGTAGCCTCTACCGAATGAATGTTTCTATTTGCTACCATCATGTGGACATTTCCAGTAGAGTTACAGAGCTGTGGAGTTTCATAGTAGATCTTTACGTTTTTCATTTTTTAAATTTTTTATCTTCTTTCAGGCCAGCAGTGAGGGACAGCGTTCACTACTTTTACATCAGCGTGCACAACTACTACAACAGCTGGCAGAGCTGGATAAACATGTAAGTGTGTTAAGGCATTCTTTTGTAATTGCAGGAGAGTATTATTTCTTTAGATAGTTGTTTCTCATTATTAATTTATAATTAATGATTTTAATTATAAATCTTTATTATAGAGATTATTAGAGATAATTCTGCACAGCTACTCCCTGTTGACTTCACTTTGTCCCCTCATTCAGCTGGAATCAATACCTCCAGATGACAGTAGTAATGGGCGGGCTCCACACACAGCTGTTCAGGTAGGTTACACATTTTGAGATGCTACAGTTTGATCTGAAGTACAACTATTACTATCTAAATTACATGCAAAACACAATACTGTTGTTTTCTTCACTTTAATGACCGCTCTTTTCATTTTTCTCTGCTTTGTTTTGTTTTTCAGCCACAGCCTGCAGTGGATTGTGATGACAAAGATGAGACCTGTGACGCACCAGATGATCCAATGTCTACAGCTGAATCTGTGGTAGTTACCTGTATTTTTGTCTTTGTATGCTAGTTTGTTTATTTAATAATTAAGAAAACAGTATGTTAGTTTTTAGTATTAGTATCAAGCAGCATATAATATCTTATATAATTAAATATTGTTGTGCAGACTTAGAGAGAATAAAAATAAGGCAAACAATAATTTAAATAAATATTGGACAGAAGTGGGCAAGTGAAGTGTTGACCAACAGAACATGACCATCGCATGCAGCTCATACCATCAATCAACTTAAACGCTGTGGTAATTTAAAGTTTCATAAGTGTCATATATATTATTATTATACAGTTTATTAGTGTCAAACATCACAGTGCAAGTGGTGCAAATTCAGCTAATTTACTATGGCAATAACTTCGATAAACATTTAAAATTTTATTTATTTATTTCCTAGGTAGGTCACTCTTGCTCCACATTGCGTCACTACAGTTGCTGTTATAACATAATAAAAATAGTAGAATTACATTTGCTACGATCACAGATTGTTATTGGCCAATTGATTTCCACATACAACAGTTTTTTCCTTCTTATGTTTCAGAAAAAGAAAGAAAAAAGAAAGAAAAGAAAAAACTCCTCAGCCGAGTCAGAGGACGACAGGGATCCTGATTACCTTCCTAATAATGATGATGAGCACTCTGATTACCCATCTGATCCTGACGGTGGCTTTTCGGATGGCTCTGATCACAGCAGGCCCTCAACACCCACTGATGAAACGCCTTCTCTGCCAGGGAAAAAAAGGGCTAAATCAGGGAGTTCTTCATGTGAAGCTGAAAGCGCCAGTCCTCCGAAACAGATACAAGCAAATAAGCAGAAGAAGTCAGAAACCGTAGTGCTGCCGACTTCAAATACTAAAATAAAACGTGTTTATGACAGGAGGAATTACTGCCCATTTTGTTCTAAGCCAATATCCAAAATGGCACGACATCTGGAGTCGATCCACAGCGACAAAAAAGAGGTTGCAGCCGCTTTTCAGTATCCCAAAAGTTCCAGAGAAAGACAAAAAATATGGAACAGACTAATAAATCAAGGAAACTTTGCTCATAATAAAAATGTCCTGAAATCCGGGAAGGGCCAGCTTGCTGTACGAAAAAGACCAAAGCACACTGGACAAGCCCAAGACTTTATTCACTGCCTTTACTGTCGAGGCCTTTATGTGAAGAACGCTTTGTACAGACACATGAGGCTGTGCCCAGAGAAAGCGAGGAATGGAAATGAATCAAAGATCGGAAGACCACGTATCGCATTGCGATGTGTGCTTGAAACTTCAGACGACCTTGACGTAACTGACGGTTTTAGGAGCGTTCTGGCACAGATGACCTACAACGATGTCACACGAGCTGTCATGGATGACAAGGTTATCTTGCAGTTTGGTGAACTCTTGTATAACCAGCACGGATCTGATGTGAGGAAGCACGACTACATAAGACAAAACCTTCGTCAGATGGCGAGACTTGTACTTGAAGCCCAGAAAGTAACTCCTCTGACGAAACTGGAGGACTTCTTTCTCCCTTCAAACTTCCCACATGTGGTGGCTGCAGTGAACGTCCTGGCAGGTTACAATCCAGAAACCAAATCTTACACCATTCCTTCCCTTGCCATCAAGCTTGGCTACCACCTACAGAAGACCTGTAGCATTGTTGAGGGTAACGCAGTTAAGTCCGGGGATGAACGTTTGGCAGAGGCTGCACGAAACTTCCTCTCTGTGTATCAGAAAAAATGGAACAAGTTGATTTCTTCGGGTGCATTAACGACACTCAGAAAGACTAAAATAAAAAAGGAGAAGAAGGTGCCGTTTGCTGAAGATGTAAAACGCCTGAACTTCTACATGGAGTACATTCATCCTCTCACTGAGGAAAAACTCAGAGACAGTCCCTCTTCAGAAAACTATGCCGCTCTGGCCAAGGTATTACTGGCTCGAACAATCATCTTCAACAGGAGAAGTGCCAGAGAGGTATCGTCGGTGCATCTAACAGCTTTTATGTCACGGAAAAAGTCAAGCGTGCAGACTGGCATGGACATTTCTGTGTCAGATTTGGAAAGAAGGATGTGTGGGCTCTTCACCAGAGTTGACATACGAGGAAAGTGTGGGAGAATGGTCCCTGTTTTACTAAAACCATCATTCGTGTCTTCCTTGGAGTTTCTCGTAGAAGTTCGCGAGACGTGTGGAGTCCCCAGTAAGAATCCTTACCTGTTCGGTCGACCAAGCTCGCTCTCTTCCTACAATGGGTCAGAGGCCCTCCAGAAATACGTCAAAGCATGTGGAGCTAAAAACCCTGAAGCGCTGACTTCACCAAAGATCAGGAAGCATTACACAACAATGCTACAGATGATGAACCTGGATGAAGATGAGGCTGACCAAATTTTAGGCCCAAATAATCAAGTCCGAAGGCTGCGACAGGACAGCAGCATGCACCTGGATGACGCCCAAATGGGGTCTGATGGTAAGACATTTGAGGATTAATTGTAAATGGCAGAGGGGAGTTTTACATAGGATTAGATTACAAAGGGGCTCAGTTTGTGATGAAGTGTGGCGTGAAGACCCTTGCGTTACCTGCATATGAGTCACAGAAGAAAATCCGTATTTGGGCAGCTGCACAGTTTTAACTTTACTGAAAACCCTGTGTATTGTGACCTGGACATTACCTGTAATATAGTTAGGTGTTTAATTGCTGATTTGCTGATGTCTAAACTTCTGCACACTGATCCAGGGACAGCGCCTATCACCAGCTTAGGAACAGTTAGACACTTTGTCCCACTGATTTGAGAATATCATAAAAAGCACGAGACACAGGACTTTTTATTGTGATCTTATGTTGAAAGCATTGTCTATGACCTAAACAGCTTTCTAAATCACCCATTGCAATCTACAGTTATATACTATAATTAAGAGCAACCACTTGCATACAAAATGAAGTTTAAATCATACATGCAGGAACCTGGACTATAGCTAAAGCTCAGTTTGGTATCTTTTTTTCTTAGTGTGTTGAATAGATTGTGTAAAATTACTTCTTTTAAATGACGTAAGGCAACTGGGTAGATATCCGTACTGAGAAGGTGAGTATCCTAGAAGGCCACTGAATGAATAATTGAATGGAGAAAGTCAGCTGGTGTAACAGTGGCACATGGTTACCACCAAATGGCCCTTGAAGCCTAAACTTGTCTGGGGGGTTACACTGTGGCTGTTTTACTTCTCTAGCTTTTCTGCAGTTATGTAGGTGTGTAAATGTGTATATGGGTAGGTGGGATATGTAATATAAGTCTCTTTTTGTCTTCCATACAGAGAGATTACAAACTGCATCAGGACAACTTGCATCATGGGATCACAGTGAGCATCCCAGTGCACACTATGGTGCTAACATGACTGTACCTTCAACATCTAGAAAATCAGGCAAAAAAGGTAATAGTGAACATTGATAGTTATTCTGTCCATTTTTATATCAGGGGCCACTTTGAGATTTTCTTTAATAAAAAAAATATTTCCCCACAGACATTCATATAAACCTATGTTAGATAAACAATAGAAGACTTCAAATGAAGACTCATTGAGAAGGCTGGCTAAGGGATAAAGAAATACAGTAACAGTGTTGTAGTATTCAGGGCTGCAGAGACACCTGGAGTCATTGCTGCCACCAGTTCTCAAAGCTGTCATGGTTTAAGTAAAATATTTTTTAGTTTTTTTTTTTTGTCAAGATGTTTATTTTATTTTTATGTCTTTTTAACACAACAGGTGTTACATGTGTAATGATTTCAAGTATTGCTTTTAAAATTAGCTAATTAATTTATTAATGTGTATGGTAATCCAACACTGATGCCCCAGCCCTAAGCTTCAACAGATGGGCCACACATTGCAGAATCATTCACGCAAATTAAAGTGCAGTTGAGGTAAAGAGTTATTCATTGTCCACCTCACTGTGCAAGCTTCATTTCAGGTCAAAACATAATTTTTTGTCATTTTTCAGAGTTTTTTTAAGTGATGACACAAGTTCACTCTTTTTCCTTTTACCCCACAGGCGCCCAAAGTCAGGGCAAACATAAATGGGACGAAGAAGAGGTTCTTGCTGTGGAAAGACACCTGATGAGTTTAATTCAGGGACACAAGGTGCCTCAGAAAAACGACTGCATTCAGTGTCTCGAGGCTGAGCCAGAAGCACTGAGGAACCGTTCATGGAAAGGTGTAAAGGACTACGTCAGAAACAGGATCACTGCCCTGAAAAGACAAAGCACAACTTCCAACAAAGAGTAACAGTGGAAACACTTGCCCTGGGCACTGGACATGTTCAGCAGTTTTAGATGTGCTGTTTTGTTGGTGCAAGTTTTCTCTCTACCATTTTATCGTCCTTCACCACCCTCTGTTTATCTTTGTTTAGGATCCATCTGTTCCTTTTACAACATTGTAAGTGTTTCCATTCAGTAAGATGGCCGAGAATAGACTGATATTTGATCATTTTTATGTTGGTGCTGTATGGTTTGCAGTTGTTGTCATTAATCATTTTAACTTGTATAATTACAGCATATTTTTCACTTTTCAGAGACAGCTCATACATACTGACGAATTATGCGTTATACAGACTCATCTGATGGTTAATTCTTACGTTTTTGGAGCTGTAAGTTAACTTCTGTGACTAAGTCATTTGGTATACTGTATTTTGTTTGACTTTGTCGACAATTTACCACAATTAAAGGTGCCAAGAATAATATTCTAGCAATTTATCTGTGAACAAAAATATTGGTTGCTTGTATTCCATTCATGAAATTGTTAACATGTATTTCAGAGATTTGTGCCCCGTCAGGCCTCATCTCTTGCATGCATGTATGAAAGAAAAACCCAAAGTCAGTGGTGGAAGATGTAATCAGATATTTGACTTGGTAGCAGTAACACATTCAAAAGTTTACTGATGTTAAAATACAAAAGTATTAGCAACACATTGTACTTCAACTATCAAAAGTATTCACAAGGCTGCAGAATTGCCCCGTGTTATACTGTCATATTCACTTTTTTTTTTATTACTAATGGCATGCATGCAGCATTTTAATGTTGTACTGTAGACTGTCAAAGTAAATTTTTCTACCTTATATGTTTAAATTTAATTTACATATTACAGTAATTTTTTGTTATGTTAGTCTTATCCTTATACAATTTTATATGCTTATTATTTTATAAACTTCTTTGTAAAAAGAGTTTTTAATCTAAAAGCAACTATAACTGTTACATAAATGTAGTGGAGTAAAAGCTACAATATTTCCCTGTGAAATGAGGAAAGTATAAAGTAACACAATGTAGTTACTCAAGTACAATACCTTAAAATTGTACTCGGGTAAATATCCTTTACCACCACTGAATGAAAACAGCAATTGAACTGTAATGTACTGAACTCTCAGTATAATGTATTTACTGATCTGATAGGTTGTAGCTTTTTAATTAGACATTTTTTAATGATCTTTTTTGTATCCAAGTGTCGCGGGCTTTTACTTTGAAAGGACAAGCGGAAATGCGTTACAGTGACAGATGGTAGCTTGAGGCTAACTGCTGCAAAGGAGTCAGTCGGGTTCATGGATGTAACCGGTTGTGTTGTGGTCTAAAATCATAAAGTTAATCATGTAACAGTTAGTTATCTTTGAATGGTATGTTATTATAACGCAAAGACGAGCCAATAATTAATGTGAGTCAGTCTCAGTGTTTGTCGCAGAGGGGAAATGTTGACGCTAACGTTAGTAACATTGAACAAGTGCGGCCGCACGCAAAGCGCCTGTTTCCATTGATGTCCAAAAGGTATCGACTCTAATCTTTTATTGCCTAAAATAACATTGTTCCTTCAGATTCAGCTCTTAATATCAGCCTGGTCGTTTATGTGGAGCAGCTGGCAGCAGTAAGTCCATGTCGAGCCCGTTCACATCCATGTCTGTGTCTGTGGTTGCTCGCTATTATTATTAACCTGACGTTAGTTACGTTACATAATAATAATAATAAATAACTTACAGTAACGTTGAACTAGTCAAATAAGCTAGTTAATTAGCGTTAATTGTCATTTTCGACGTTATGTTCTCATAGTCATGCGTTTCGATAGTGTAACGTTATTCAGCTTCGTTAACCTGCTGAGAGTCAGAGTCACAGGACGTTTTTAAAGATGAGCAATGAAACAGAACAGCTCATTTGTGTAGTTATGTGTTGCAGGTAGACTAAAGCTATCTGCAGTAAGCTTTATTCAGCCTGTCTCAGACCATAACTGAGGATCCCATCACGACCCTCAGCATCAGCTCTGCATGTCTGTGTTTCCTCGCTAGGTCCCGCCTCCAAGGAGAAACACACCAATCAGTGATGGTTATGGAGGATGATGGACGTCCCGACAGCCAATCAGAGCCAGACACCCTGTCAGCCGTGGGCAGGCCAGAACGGCTGGTCCCCGGCTTCACCTCCAGGACCCCCCTGCAACCCTCTGCCCAGCTTCCAGCACCTCAGCCTGGGCTCGCCATCTGACCAGAGACCCTGCTACGACCACCTGCAGCCATCCAACCGGGGCTGCCACAGCGACACAAACGACGCCCATCACAGCACACTGTATGCTCATAACGCAAGTCAGGGTGTGCAGCGAATCGTTCCTGATGCATCCGTGGCTCCAGCTGCAAGCCAAGGAAGAAATATACCTCCATGTTCTCTGCCTCTTATTAATCAAGGGACGCAGCCTTGCACGCCACTGCAAATGCCATTTTACTCCCCTTACAGCCCATACCAGCCCCCGCACACACACCAGGGTTTACTGAATGGACTTCAGTCACCACATCAGAAACATCTGCCCGTCAGCTCCCCGTCATTCAGACAGTGTGTAAACCAGAGTCCGCAGTGCACAGCTCAGCCTGCGTTTGAGAGGGCCAATGTGGAGTCCCCCGTTGTATCGGCCCACAGTCCTGCCTCACACACCTCTCCCGTCCAACAGTACACACACTGTAGAGGTAGGGTTGTTTCTAAATGAGCACGACATGCTTACGTGTATGTTTCAAATTCAATGAACCAGCAACATCAGTGAAATTGAGAAAATAAGTAACTTCAGCTGCAGTAAACAGTTTAATAGAGCACCACAGGTTTATAACACTGTCTGGATCTTCCCTCCATCGTCTCCCTCAGTGTGTAACTCTTCTGTTTCTCCTCAGGAACCATCAGTGAGTTTGTTCCCAGTGCGGCGGCACAGGACACAAGCAGCACGCCACAGGTGGGGAAATATACTAACAGCATTAAAACTCTTTCATGTAGAGACGTTTTGAGATTTCTGACGCGATGTATCCGCTGATTATTTTCTCTATTAAATAAAAATGCATTTTCATTTCTGTTTTCATCCCTCAGAATCAAAAGACGTCGGGCTTGTTAGACTCAAGATTAATAATCTGATAGAATATAAAGTCTAGAAAAACAACATTTTGTGTTTTATAATAATGCCAAGGTTTGAGAGTGAGTCATAAAACTCTTCTCTCTGCAGTCTCCGGAGTCTCGTTACGGTCTGGACCCAGAGCTCCTGCCCAGTGCGGTCAGTTCTTTCATTCTCTCTCTTGTTTCTCTCTTAACATCTTTTCTTGACTGAATTCTGCAGCGGACTATGAAAGACTGTTTACTGCCCGCCATGTTTCGGGTTTTTAAACACATCATGAAGCTTTGCATCGTACGCCTCCGATGTGTGTGTTGCCTTGTACAGTCTGTCTTTAAGAAAACTACCAGATGTCTGATATACTGTGTTTCTTTGGCAATGAGCTCCTTCTAGGACTGTTTGGTTACATATGTTTTATACACTGGATGTAACTATTGTATGAATATAGATATTTTATTAGAGATCCTCCGTCTATTTGGACACAGTGTAGTGTTTCCATAGTCTTGCTGATTGCTAAGGTTACACCTGTGTCTCTCTCTATCTGTCTCAGGTGAAGGTGATTGCAGAGGACAAGGCGGAGTGGGAGGGCAAGGTCTTCGTCTCAGAGCCTTTTTCCCGTCTTCCTCCTCTGGCAACTACTTCGTGTATCATAGAGGACAGGGGTAAATGCACACAACACCATCAACATGACTTACAGCGTATGGTATGCCTGAAATTCAAGTAACTTTTATTCATTCACAGTGAATGTTTTTAATATAAATCATTTTAATTTCTGAATTTCAAAGATGATATGTTGATCAGTCAGTTTTCTCTCCCTCCAACCCTTCTGGTCACTGTATTAAGTTTCACAGTATTTCCATTCCGTTCATGTCACTCCTGACCTTGTCTGTGTTGAACTCTAGGTAATGCGAGTCCTTTCGCCATCCGCTCCACCTCGTACTGCGTGCCCTGTGAAGGTCAGACTGCCCTGTTGAGCCGTCTGCCGCTGGGAGCTCTGGTCAGCCCACTGGCAAAACAAAATGCTGGAGAGGTCAGTTTTATGGCTGCTCTGCTTATTCTGCTATTTATTAAAAATAGATGTGAGCAATACAAAAGTAATGGCAGCAACAAAACACTTGAATTTTATAATGCTACAGTTGCTATGGTGCAGTTTAACGTGAAGGTTTTGCTGGAAATTAAAAACACGTGTATTTAATGTGTTAATGTGTGTGTTGCCTCTAGAACGCCCTGCCAGTGTGCAAAGAGCCAGAGTGTGTTATGGGCTGTGGTTGGTGCGGAGCATCCATGTGCCCGGCGATGGGCTGGCAGGACTGCGGTCAGAGGTTTTACTGCCCCTTCTGTGGTAAACTCAGCGAAGGTAAGATTTAACATTCAGCATCTAAACATACGGGTGATGTAGTCGGGGTTCAGTGTCTGTTTGACGCCACAAGTATGATCTCTCTAATACCAAACTTTATTTATATAGCACATTTCATACAAAAAGACACAAACAAAACAGATGCAAAAATAGGGACATTAAAACATAGCAGAAAGAGCATTGTTTCCACAGTGATGTAAATGTATTGTTGATCAACTGTGTAAAAAGTGCTCAGAAGGGATATTTTTACTTAAACATGTAAAGAAATAGTGAAGACAACGTGTCACAAGTCTCTAGAGTTCAAATGAACTGAATGAACTAAACAAGGTTTTGTTTGACAAACTGTCCAAAAAAACATAATATTTAGTTTACTATCATAAAACTCTAAGAAACCATCAAATATTTACAATGTGAGATGATGAAACCTGTGCCTTTTGCACTTTTGCTAAAAAATAAATAAATACAACTAACTATTAAAATGAGCGGCCATTGTCGTTATCAACTAAATGCCATTAACTGACAACGACTCAGCCGATCCACAGAATCAATAACACAGAATCAATGTTGCTTACTTTGCACGCAGCAACAGTTTTTCTCTCCTCTCTTGTCTCTCAGTGCCGTGGCAACACTACCAGCCCACCAAAGGGGTGGAGGGGGTTCGGGTGGATAATGAAAAGAGGCCAGAACTCAGTATGGGATCGTACGAGATACTTAATTCTCTGAAGGTTAGTTTCACCTTCTACAGTTGTCATTAGGGCTTATTGAATTAGTTTTTAATTGGAAACCCCCATTTGTCATGATTTCTGTTACCTCATATAATTCAACTAATATATCTAATTTATAAATTAAAAGGATTAATTAATAGCATTTATGAAGCAGTAAAAGAAGCATTTGTTGATTCTTGCTTCTCAGATGTGAAAAGCCCAAATTAATATTTGGGCTGTGGATCAAACAACAAAGTCAATTTGAAAAACTTATGAAGGGGATTGTTTCTCTTTTCTGACATTTATCAACCACAATTATATATATATATATTAATTTAGTAATGGACGAAAAAATGTAGAGATTATCGTTACAGCCATAATTAGTTGTAGAGTAGGATATGTGTTTATAGAAAGATGCCGTTTGTGTGTGTAAACTGTTGTACTTTATCTCAGGGTGAGCCGGCTGCACTGCTTCTAGCCATAGATGTGTCTGCCTCAGCACTGAGAGGAGGACATTTGGAGTTTGCAGCACAACAAATCCTTACTTTGCTGACCTCTCTGAAGAGGTAAAGCACACTCCCACCTAATTATATATTCACACACTCTTTCACTGCATGCTCAGTAATATCCCTGTGCAGGTTTGGAAATGCTGGCAAAGGGGTGGCATTGATCTTGTTTCCAGCTAACAAGTTTCATCTTATTCATGTAGGGAGGATGGCGAGTCCTCGTCAGACGTTCGAGTTGGTTTGATGACGTATGACAGCAAGATCCACCTGTACGACCTCAGCCCCGCCCTGTCCCGCCCACACATGCTGGTCATCACAGAGACAGAAGACCTGCAGCTTCCTGTGAGGGAGGGGCTTCTGGTGTCCCTACAAGACTGTATAGACAGTATTGAAGGTAACAGACGTGTTCACTGCTCCATTTTGAAAGTTCCACTTTAAACAAGTCCAGAAGCTGGATGGGACGATGCAGAAATGGACACTACCAGAAGATTCTGTCTGTGCCCAGAGTGTAACTTTGTCACTTTGTATTTCTTTGGTGATCATTATCTGTCTGTTGTCTGTGTGTGCAGTGTGCTGCAGCTTGTTCCTCAGTTCAGTTCAGAGTGTGATGACTCAAGCGGAGTTCCCATGGAGCTGCCTGTCAAAGCAGGGCTAGCTGTACTGCAGGTCAGTCATCACTGCACACACCTCACTGTTACGGCAAGTTTGTTATGTATTTATTGTACAAGCTGTCAATGATCAGTGTTGCTTTACCACATTAACTGCATCCTCTCTCAACAGCTGACAGTGTCACGATATAATTTAAAGACTTGATTTTGTTTGTTTCCAGGCCCTAGGTTGTCCTGGCAAGCTGCTGATCTTCCATACTGCCCCTCTGATAGAGATGGGACACACAAACTCACCCTCAGGGTTCTTTGGCTCAAACAAACCAAAGGTACTTAAGTTGTTCTGCCCTGTAGCTGACCTTCCTGTACAGATGGGCATATGAAGAGAGTTTCATGGCTGCATGGTTGCAATAATTCCCTCTCCTTTTGTTTTTCCCAGTCCGTCTTTCAGCCGTCAGAGCAAGCTGTCTCATTGGCCAAGGAGTGCGTCAGTCAGGGCTGCGGCGTTCACCTGTTTGTCCTCTCCCAGCAGGACGTAGGCGGGGCTTGGCCAGGACACATTCCATATCTAACAGGTGGAGCGCTGCACACCTACAGCCACCTCCAGGTATATCAACAGCTCATAGCACTGGAAATGGGGTAAAATGAACTACATAAAGAAGCAATCTAATTTTAGTAATTGATGAGCCATTGTGTTGAAGAAAATGTTGACATTTTGGGAAATTTAGAGGAGAAGATTTCTACCACTGTGATTTCTGTCTGCTAACTTTAGGGCTACAAAAATAAGTTAAAATACACAACTGACAGCTGTTTTTAGCTTTTAGCTTTGCAAAGAGTTGCCGTCCAGAACTTGCTATAAATACATTTAGCAAACTGTTGGTGATTAGCTTTCTGTTGATTTATGTTGCACTGAATATGGCTAATTATTCAGCTTCTATCAGCACTTTGTAATGGCCAATAGAGCAACATGGAAGCAGTGTTTTTAGCTGCATTTAGCTGCATTGCTTTGCACACAGATGAGTTAGAAGTCCCAATGTAAACTGGTATTTTAAATTTCCACTACAGGGAGAATTGGACAGAGAGCGTTTCTGCACCGATCTAAAGACGACTGTAGAGACGTACACAGGCTACAAGGCTGAGCTCAGGATTTTTGTCAGCAAAGGTGAGATTCTTTTTATTTGTGTGAGTGTGTGATTATTCAGCCACTGCCCTTTACAAGTACGTGTGATTCCACTATTTGTACCTGTCTCACCAGATTTGCGTGTGTCTGGCTGTTACGGACTTTTTATCCCTGGGCCTAACCCAGGCCACGTCACTATGGCAACTCTTGATTGCTTTACAACACTGGCTGTGGAGCTGGCACACACCAGAGCTCTGGATGAGACCAGAGGTGTCGCCATACAGGTGGGTTCATGATCATTATTAGATCAGAAATGGGTTGAATTTAGAGACCTGGCACTTTTATTGTCGTTTATTTCATCCAGATCCTTCTGTTAGCTGAGATTTAATTGAATCTGAATACATTTTATATATAATTTGATAAAAAAAAGACATCAGTTGTTAATAAAACAAGTCCAGAGTAAATCTGTTGATTTTAGAAATACTATGATGCCCCATTTGCAGCTTGCCAACAGACTAAATATTCCCTTAAACTTTTGTCAAACCGTAATCCTCCCTCTCTTCCTGTTTGTCAGGCTGTATTATCTTACAGCACACAGACCGGGGACAGGAGGACCAGAGTTCACACTCTGACCCTGCGATGCTCACGTCAGCTGCAGGACGCTTTCCGGCAGTACCAGGCCCAAACACTACTCACCTTCTACTGCAAAAAGAGTGAGAACATCTTCTACTATAGATCAGTGCATCATGTAGATCTTCTTCTGTAAATAAAATGCAATGCTTATCAGCACCAGTTCAGTTGTAAATAGCTAAATAATTGGGAATTTGGGAAAAATAGCGTAAACGTTTATAAATTAATAAACCCTTATGAGAAAGTAGGCAGTCCAATAATCTGCACTGAACCCTCTGTAATACTGTCAGAGATCATTATCTTATACAGTACAGTGAAATAACATTAGCATAATGTTAATTAACATAATATTAGTGCGCAAGTTCACAAAGTATCAGGATATCAAAGTATAAATAACGTTGAATGCAGTGTAAAAAAAATGTGAAAAAAATGTATTTTCAACTGTCACGTAAGACAACATTAAGTTGTGTTTTGGTGTTTCTGTGTAGTTTACTGTGCAGTGTTGGAGCGCCCTCTACAGGAGCTGAGGGAGGAACTGCAGACGGAGGTAACAGAAGCATTGGCGTCCTACCGCAAACACTGCTGCTCTGCCTCAGTGTCTGCTGGACAGGTGAGGTTTGGAAACATGAAATATACTCATAACTATAAATGCTGGTTCAGTTATTGTAGAGTCTTTATGTTAGTCCTTTATTTATTTTTTACTTAACCTCCCACCCTGAGACATCATCCTTCTCTTTTTATTAACTACTGTACTCTGTGTGTGTGTGTCCTGTAGCTGGTCCTCCCTCAGTACCTGCGAGCTCTTCCTGTTTACATCAACAGTCTGAGGAAGAGCGAGGTGCTTCTGCCGGGCCTCAGGAGCTCCATCCACCAGCGGCTGCAGCAGCGCTGCCAGGTGCTCAGGATGGACACCCGCGGCACCTCCACACACTTCTACCCTCTGCTGCTGCCTCTGGTCAGTACCATCAACACATGGGAGTTTGTCTTGACCAGAGTGAGGCTGAAGTTCTGCACTAGAGGACAGAATATTGAATACTAACCAAAAATACTAACTGTGGCAGTCAAAAACCCACACACAAACCCTTTTATCACAACTGCTGTTTGGGAGGTATCAATAAACATAACTTAGCTTTAGCTGACTGTCGTCTACTGTCACTTAACATGAAATAACTTCTAAAAAGTGGCAATAATTCTTTGTGGTCATAAGTCAAATGGTCCTGAAGAGTAGCAGCAGGTTTATATGAGAGATGCACTGGGCTACTGTAGAAACATGCTGGTTCAAAAGCATAAAGCACTTACTTTAATGGTAAAACAAAGTTTCTCCAGCACTGCTTTAGTGTTGTCCTTGACCTGTATTTATACTAATCAAACTTTGAACACTACCAGTAAAGGGTGACTGTCACTTCATTAACAGAGCAGACTCAGCAGCATTATAGTTGTTCTTGTCTTTGTGGTTTTGGTACTTATCATCACATTTTCTCTTATTTTTCACCTGCAGGCGCTGTCAGTTGACAGCTCCAGCTCTCCAAACCCAGAGGAGGCGCTGCGCTGCTGTGCCGCCAGCCTGGAGCCCAGAGGTCTATATTTGGTCCATGCACCCCTCACCTTGCTGCTCTGGGTGGGCGCCCAAGTCCCAGCATGCACCCTGGTCGAGCTCTTCAACACCAGCTGTTTCTCCTCACTGCCCTCTGGAGAGGTAAGAGGTTCAATGGATGCAGGTGTAGACACAATGCTGATACAGCAGAGCTGCATCCACAACAAAAGATGTATCCTCGTTACAGTGAGTATATCCACCAAATTAAAACAGTTCTAATCATTCAGAATGGGTTAGAATTTTTTTTGCAAGACTTTTCATTCACGATGCATGTAAAAATGAAATGTCTTCTAATTGGCCACATCCACTTGTAAAGGTTCAATTTAAAAAACATTAAAAGAATAAGAGTAATAAGCACATACAGCTATAAACAGTATTTTATAAAGTGTGTACGTAATTTTAAGAGAAACTTATTGAGAAGAGAGGAACAGGGAGTTGGGAATGGTTGGAAGGTGATGAATAAAAAGAACTAGTTTAATAGAAGAAGACTCATAATATTATGTTTATGACACTGATTTTACCCAGCGGGCTCTACAGACACCCTGTTTACTGTCTGTTTCTGATGCTTTTGTGTTCCTTCAGACCAAGCTACCAGTTCTTGAAAACCCTCTGTCCATCAGTGTTCGATCCCTCATCAACTCACTGAACGCTGAGGCATCTTGTGCCCGCAAGGTGAGCCGCTGCTGAGCGTCCTGCTGCAGCTGCAGCCAACTTCTGTGGCCTTACTGTATATTACACAGTCGCTGTCTCAGTATGTGAGGTTGATTAATATCTCCTCTGTATCCACTTCTCCTTTATGTCGTGTCAGATTTATTGTACATTTGAGCTGTTGTATAATCTTTATTTTAGTCATTTTACTTTGTCAGCTAGTTGTCAGAATATCAATAATCTCAGACCTGTTACAGCATTATTATTTTTAACCTGTCAAAATGTATCATTTCATTTATCTAGAAGGCAATTCAGACAATCCTGAAAGAGCTGTAATAATGAAATTCAGTGAACCAGTAGTGGGTGTTGATGGATGCCACTGATGAGACTGTTTCTCTGTCTCAGCTGTGGGTGGTGAAGCAGGGTGACGCCTGCGAGGAGGCCCTGCAACGCCACCTGGTGGAGGACAAGAGTCCCAACGGAGGAGCGTCCTATGCAGACTTCCTCTACCATCTCCACGTCAACTCTGTCAGGCTTCTGCAGTGACTTAACACACACACACACACACACACACACACACACACACACACACACACTCGTACATTTTCTGACCTCTGGGTGCATTACCGTCTATAAAAGATGTCACTGCAGCGTATTTGCCTCAAATAACTAGACATTATTATGATGTGGAAATATGAAAGGCCTGTTGTCAGGCAGTGCATAGGGACATTTTATCATTTTACTCATTTAATGACTGTGACGTGTGTGTGTGTGCTGTGTTGAATGTGATCCATGCTGTTCTGAAAATATGTTTATGATGTTAATTTATTCCTGTGTGTCCTGAGTTTTGCGTGTATTGTTGTGTGTGGTTGTGTGTGTGTGTGTGTGTGTGTGTGAGGTGCCCACAGTGTGTTCTGTGTGCACAATATCATGAATAAATAAAGCATTTAATTGAACCTTGATTAAAGTTTCTTCCAGTTTAAGGAGAGCAGACTTTTCAGTGAACGTCAGTAGAAGCAGTGAAGTTGTATCTTAGACGTCGTCCTGTCACATCTGATGAAGACGTGACTCAGGAAGCCAAAAGGGCAACTGTCTAATGAGTCCAAGTGGATAATCAAACGAACTAACAACATTGTAATTATGTTGCTGCAAGGGTGTGAAGCACTCAAACATGTGGCTGTATCAGGGGAGGGGGGTTTGGTGTCAGTGGTATTTTTTCACATTTGATTGCCCAAACCATCCAACAACATCACAAAGAGTCTACAGCCAGGGCGGCGTCTCCGTGAGGTTGTTTGAACACAGTGGTGCTCTGAGCTGAATGCTAGCACGTATTAGTTTGGTGTATTGGCACTAGTACACAAAGTACTAGGGATGTACTGTCAAGTCAGGTTTTTTTCAGATCCGAGTCCTTGAATACAGGGTATCTGCCTAAACTGGATCCGATCCAATGCTTGTATTTACACAAATGTTCATTAAAGTCCCCCAACCACTCAAAAATGTGTTGTTTTTTTTCTGTTGGATGTTTGAAGCCTCACCGTGCAGAATGACGTACGTGCAGTTTGACACTAGAAGGTTGTTTTCACATTCATCTGCTGGAAGTTCCTCTGTGCTCATTGAAAATCAGATTGTAATGGGGCATGAATTCTTATTTTTACAAGCTACATTATTTGATCCAAATGCTGAAGGTCTTGATTCATATTGGCCCTGAAGAGATCTGCTAGAGAGGGGACGTATCACTCTGTTGGAGATGTTGGGACTACCAGTCCACTTGCGTTGTACAGTGGTGTTCTTTGAATATTTGCAGAGAGCAAACAAACCAGACAACAGCCAGGCGTAATTTGTTCTGCCATCAACCTACTCGCAGAATGAACCTTTATTAGTGACAGCTAATGTGACCTGCTGCCGCTGTTTGTCATTTAAACCGGTGAAAGAAGCAGTCAGCGCTGCCTGAAATGAGGAGCTATAGCTGAATGTGTTACACTCTGCTCTATGCTCATATGAGCACAGATAACAGCTTCGTTACTGTCGGAGATTAGCTGATCTGTGTATTTTGCCCACGCTGATGGAGAATATTGTCGATCACTGGTACCATCTAATAACTGGTCACATACACATACTCTTCTCTGTCATTCAGATATTGATCCATTGAAATATGTCCAGATCTGCACTGATACCAAACGTCAGGCTCACCTCAGTACGACCTTACACAGTGCAGGTGTTTGGTCAGAAATCAGAGTGACGTTGACCACATGATGGCGCTAGAGAAAATATTTAGGATCATGAGCATAGTTGTTGAGACATTTTACTCAAAAGCACAAATGTGGGGCGCTCAAATAGCGCACAGCGGCCACGGGTTCGAATCCAACCTGTGGCCCTTCGCTGCGTGTCATCCCCCCGTCTCTCTCCCACCTTTCAAACAAACAAAAACACCCCAACAAATGTGAACCTTGTGGACCAAACAAACAAACAAACCAATTCCTGCAGGAAAAGAGAATGAAGTTGATTAAATGTAACCATCTCTAACTGAATTACAGTTCATCTCCTCTGAACTCTGATCTCACAGCCTTTATTTTTGGATTCAGTCACTTTCTTCTGCTTTCCAGATTCGCAGTATTTAGCTTCATAGTCATTGTGAAGAAAAAGACAAACAGAACATTCACACTTGTTTGTGTACTTGTTGTTGGCAGTGTGAATTTGTATCCTAAAGCATTTTGGATGCTGCCCAGTTAGATTCTGGTGGGATCACACAGACTGAGAGGATGTGGGCTGCTGGTTAAACTGCATGCACTCTTTGTTTGACCGTTAACTTAAAGCAAAGAGAAACACATGTTTCTTTTTTGTCTGGAGGAATTTAAAATACGGATGAAAGAGATCAAATGAATGATGAGAGAGCATGTCAGTGTAACACTTCAGTACATTTGGAGAGACGAAGAGGAGTTTACGTTGTACGATTACACACATTTGACACATGTTGGGTTGATTGAAGTATTTGATTAAAATAACAAATTAGACGAAAATATTATAAATTTAAATACAAGTAATTATTGAACATTATAAAACCGTCAAAAAAGTGAAAGATCTTTTGGTTCTAGGTCGGTGGCTTGTCCACATGTCTTAGGTTGGTGGGGTTCTGTTGGGGAATAACATTTGGACTCTGAGTTTAGTATTTTTAATGGCACTAAGTAAAATTACAAACAGCAAAAATAAATGTTGCATTGTGACAAAGATTGTTTACACATTACATGTTGCAGTACACAGAATGTAATCAACCGGCATCTGCACATTTATCATGCAATGAAAGCCAGCTGCTTTGTATCTAATACCTGCAGTATTTCTCCACAGCCTAACACACTGTTAGTGTCTCTTATTGCTGCTGTCACTCTGAATTATGTCTTCCTATAAACTAAGTTCAGGGATAATATCAATCTTTCTGTATTGTTTTGAGGATTAAACCGTGAAACGCTTCACATCGTCCTGTTTGAATCCTCACAAACGCATGCATTTACAACACACATGGCGGCACGTTTTGAAGGCACTAACCAGCTCTCTCATATTTGCCCCTATTTGGAAATACGCACCGTGCAGGCGGGAAGTGTGTTCGATTACGTTGCCGCGCTGTGCCGTTGCGGGCCGTGTGCACCAGAGGGCGGCACAGAGCCACTCCTGCACCGCCGCTCAGTGGGACTCAGGACTGTGTCAAGTTAGTCGGACTCAGCGCAAGACCGGAAGATACCTTCAAAATAAACTGAAGATAAATTCCAGATGATCCCAGTTAGAAAAGGCGGGTAAACGTGACGACCTCCAGTCAGTGATAATTGTAAAGCTAAATAAATAAACATTCCCACATTTTATATGTACAGTTGTAGACTGTAAAGACCCTATATCATTATTTAGTAGTCCTACTCCATATGAAAACTGTGCTGAGATTACTTTGGTGCCGATTTGGCGACATACACATTAAACTGATTGGAAGATAAAGTTGTGTAGGTATTTGATTTTGCGAACCCAACTGACTGCAGATTTGTTTGTAAAATAGCATGTGCACTCTTCTCCAAGAAACTTCTCAAACGTGAAAAGAAGTTACAGTTGTAATTGTTTAAAATGGTCACATACGTTAACCTTAATTTGATAAATGAATCCTCTCTTAGGGTTTGCTTTGTTAACCAGCTAATCCCCTGAAGTAGGTTAGCCAGTGTTCTATCGCTAGTGTCTGGTAGGTAAAACACGTCTCTTTCTAAGTGTAGACGAAAACATTAAAATTTTCTATGATTCAGGTGATTATGACACAATGCAAAAGAACCTATGAAGATTTTATATCCTTATTTCCAATGTTTACACACTGGACCTTTAATGGAGCATCTGCATTTATTACAATGGGGTGAAAACAATAGGCTGTAGTTGGATCTGTCAGCAGTGGTTACTTACACAACAACTATTTACACAACTTATTATTCTGCAGGATCCTTTTTAGGGATTTCCAATTAAATAATAATAATAAAATGATCAGAATCAATAGACAGCAGCCATTTTGACTAGTTGAACTAAGAGTGTAAACACAGGTGTTACTAATGATACTAATTCAGCTTCTGTTACAGTTACAGCCAACAGAGTCTGTTGTGTATGTTGCCCATTGACAGTATGTATAGATGTTGGCTCACTGGAAAGACTCTGCTACACTAAATGCAACCTTAATAAGTATAATTGGTAACACCCGTGATTACCCTGTTATGTCTTGTTAAATTAAGAGTTTATTCCACAAAATATGCGGACATTGCATTTATAAAAAAACGGCGCGGTTTATTCAAGTCGTGAAAATCAACATTTTAATGGCGAAGCTGCGTTTTATTCTGGAAATCCCAGCAGGAAGTCGCTCTCCTGCGGTCAGACAGCTTGATTGAGGCTCGGTGGAGCAGAGCGCGGTAGCTGTCAGATAGAGGAGAGAGACCCAGAGAGTGAACACCCACCCTGCTCGCTTCGTCTGTCCGTATCAAACCCTCCTTCAACAAGGCACCTCACCGCTCCGACGGCCGTCTAGCTGCTGGGCGGACCTTTATTTTAAACGCACATTTAGCGCAAAATAACCGCATTTCCCCCCCGGAGCTGTCAAAAGTAGCGAAGAAGCGAGAGACAGGAGAGCGACATGGCCACGACAACCTGTACGCGATTCACAGACGAATATCAGCTATACGAGGAGCTGGGGAAGTGAGTATCCGGGGGGGTTAATGTGTTTGTGTCGGGGGGGTTTGTGTGCCTTGTTGTTCAGTGTATTGTGGATGAAAGGTTTCCAGGCAGTGCAGAGCAGAGCTGTACGTACGTGTGTGTGTGTGT